ACATGGCCTTTCACCTGTGACCCATATCAAATGGGTTAATAAAGAACAGTTTTTTTAATTTTAAATATCATATTTACTTAAATTCAAATTTTCATTGAATTTCTTGTTTAGTGGAAATGAGTATTATCTGGCAGAAGTTTGTCATTTATAGAGCACTGATACTTCAACAATATTCAACACATCATTGAAAAAGACTGGAAACATGTTCTGAAAAGATTAATTTAAATGAAAATTTTGGGGTCCAAGATGGACCCTCATTATACTGACTTCTTCACTATAGTGAGGCTGAAAAAGTAATAAGACCAGCATTCACCATTTTTGGTTCTTTTTTCCTTGTAAAGGTGATCCACATCCTATTCTCTATTACAACATCCTCAATTCAGTTAGAAATATCCAAGAGTTTAATGTCATTTTAATACACTTAAATAATTTGATTATTATGTCCCTATCAGTTTCATAAATGTAAATAAGAAAAAAAAAGCAAAGCCAGAAGCATCGACTCCTGAGGCACAAACATAGTAACAAAGGTCCAACTTAACTAGACTACATTAATTGAAAATTTAGTCATTAATCCAATTTACTTCTTTCACAGCTAAGCTCCTATGTGGTACCTTAATAGAAGCTATTTCAAAATTCAAGTATACTTGAATAATTTGTCTTGTCAAATTGTGTTCTAAAGTAGCTAAACCATCCTATGTGGACCTTGACACAACTCTGATAACCAAGAGTGTAACGAACATTTGTATGTAGGTTAGCCTTGTTTTAAAACAAGTGGACTGTGTGCTGTTTCTTATTGTTGAAATTTATCAACAAGTCACAGATACTTACTGTAAAGAATCTGGCCCATACATCCATACCTGACAGTGGCAAGCCAGCCAAGATCTACAGTGGTAAACAGGAGTAGAAGTAGACATAATAACTGGTAAATAGGCCTATATATGCACAGCTGTAGTGTGGCAAAAGTATTTTCGAGGTCACAACCACACTATTTAACCATGTTGACTGACTTTGACAAGTGGATAGAGAGAGGCCAGCAACTTGGTTTCAAAAATGGCAATCCAAAATGAAAATACATGTTTATATACACATAATTGATGTTGCTGTCAAAACTTGTACATATAAAGCATGCTTTCATTGGAGGAGCACTTTATGTGGTCAATTATAAGAACTGCAACTGACTTAGGAAAACAAACCTTTACTTAACAGCCACCATTCCAAGTAGGTTATCAATCATAGTAGCTTTATATCAACTTTCTTGATCAATTAAATATACATTTCAACCCAAATAATGAATAAACAGCAAAATAGAACAGAGAAGCAGCTTGGTTAGAAAACAAATATGGACATTCATCTGTATCATTCATCACTATACAGAATGTAACAGCAAATATATCACAAAATGCAATTTCAAACCCAAGGTAACATAAGGAATGGCAGCATGACTATGAACAGGCATCTACTAACCAAAATAAGTTTGCTCACATATCTTAAACTTGGTACTTACCACTTCAACAATGTCTAGTCTTTTTAGTTACTGCCAAATTTTTTTATGACTAAGAAAAACTAGATTGTCTGCATTTTTTGGGCAGGAATGAACATCAGCTTTTGAAATTAAAATTTCTTAGTGTTAACATATATTTTATGTTTCATACTCATTTGACCATAACTTTCTCTTACAATGTCTTGTACACTAGGTGTTTAGTGCATATTTTATAGAAGCAATACAGCCACTGTACTGTAGGTACTCCTCAGCACTTTGGTATAATATCTTGCTCCCATGCACATGGTAACACCTTTAGAAGGTGCTATGTCTAACCATTTTGTAAAGAATTTTAATATAACTTTTGTTTAAGCAACATCATGTACTAAGTAATGAAATATATGACTGACAGGTGTACAAAAATGGTGAACTTCTGGTGTCCCAGGACCTTACTCTAATATATAAAAACATGTCTTGATCTGAAAATATGGTAACCTTTATAGACTTTATAAACACATCTCACATATAATGCTGGAATATCTGTTGATGTAAGGAACTAGTTTGGGGCTTCTAACGTATGTTTAATAAACCATAACCAAATAATAATGATTTTGAGGTCACAAAGTCAATAATCTATTTTAAAGTGTTCTAATCTGAACCAAATTAATTTTGTAATATCTGTTTTCTGTAATAACTGCTTAATGTTTTTTGTTTCATTAAAGAGAAAATCACCAATTGGTTAGTCACTTCAGTCATCAAGATTCCAAGCTCAGTGTTCTGCCTTTTACCGTTTTAGTTTTACTCAAACTCAAAACTGTTGTAAAACTAGATTCAAGCCATTTAATTAGATTATGCACGGTAGTCCAAAATTATCTTTCCTTTTTTTTACAATTTAATAATTAAATAACTTAAGAAGTACAACTACACAGTTTTCATCATCTTGAAATGGCTCAATGTGATGAATTGGTTGGAGTGGGTCAATTCTATGGCCTCGGCCTTCACCAGACCTCACTCCACTAAATTTCATTCTTTTGAGTATGTTAAGGTCATCATGTATTGCACACCTATAGCAAACATCACAGAGCTAAAGACTAGGATAACAGATGCCACTGTAACTGTGGACATGTTGCAGTGAACATGGACCAAAATCGACTGTCAGTTAGGGATACCAAGATCCACTAAGAGTGCACAGGTAGAAGCCTACTAACAAGTCAATAAAGACTGTTTAAGTTGGGCTATAAGATATTGAAAACTACATGGTTGTATTTCTTTATTATTTAATTATTAAATTTTAAAATAGGGAAGATAATTTTAGACCAACCTGTATGATAAATATTCAAGTTACTAGCATATAATACCTGCAGTCTGCTGCAGAATTCAAAGGATCCTTCATGATTCACAGAGACCTTACCAGTTAATCGTTTCCATTATCCCCAATTACTTCTATAGCAACCTCAAGGGAGTCCATACTTGAAAAAACATCTGTTAGGAGACCCGAAATTACTAACAAAGAACCTCGCCTAAATTTAGTCCCAGTAGCTTGTGAGTAGGAATATGAATAGTTTCCAAAATGGCATCACCAGGATCTGACGAGGAGCCAGGAACTCAAATTAGTCAAAATATTATACCAGATTCAAGTTCAGCAACCCTGTTAGCCTACTTTTAAGCTGTTATCATATCTTTGTGATTTTTCAGGCATTTTTTTCACCCACTTGATACCCAAAATATATAAAGATAGGAGACTACACGATATAGGTAAGAACATCCCCCACAGCCACTCCAAATCTGCTGCCAAATTTGATCCTGCTAACTCCAAAATTCTTAGAGGAGCTTGCAGTCTGTAGACAAACAAATTCACAAATATAAAACATAAATTCATATAGGGCAAGGTACAGGTCGACTATCAGTATCAGTAGTACTACTACTCAGTACTAGTAATACTAATAATATCACTTATTTAGTAATACTAGTAAGTCTGTATTATTAGCGTATATCATACTCGCATTCCTACATCAGTACACGTTTTAATTTTTTATTCAGATTAGTGCAACGGCCCATTAGAAAGACATTTCCTTCAAATCAATATTTCAAGAAAACTAACATAAGTTCAACGAAACACATCCCTAACGCTATAGTAATAACAGTACTCAGTACTACTAGTAACACAAATATATAAACTTACGCACTGAACTTGACTACGTTCTCGTGATGAAATTTTGAAAATAACTTAATAAGAGATCTGAAACACTTAAACTTTGAATCTCAATATTAAATATTACTTATTACACTTGTAACTGCAGTCCCGTTATGTATTCCATAAAAGACGAAGGAAGATTACTATGCGGGTTAACTCTAACGACAACAAAAATGTCATAAAGAGAAGTGGAAAACGTTTTACATATTTATTACCTACCCCACACGAAAATACGCTGACAGTCAGACAACTTCCAATTCGGTTTTTATAAAAGCTTTAATGTACAAGAGTCCCCTAACGGAAAGTGTAATTTTCAACAAAGTTTGAAATTACAAAAGCAGACAACAATCGAAAGTTGTGTTTGTTTGTTTATTTGAATTTAAGCACAAAGCTACACAATGGACTATCTGTGCTCTGCCCACCACGGGTATCGAAACCCGGTTTCCAGCGTCGTAAGTTTGCAGACATGCCGTTGTGCCACTGGGGCACCTAAAGAGAAAATACAACCACAGTATTCAAATTAATATGAATGATAAACTAAAACTAAATCATGTACATACCAAAATAACTAGAGCTATTTCATGAAATAATGTTAAATACTGTCCTTTTGGCGAACTATACGTTCTATAAATAACCTCAGATTTTTTTTTACTATCCAAAAAGGACCAAAAAATAATCGCGTAAGTACACAGGGTGGACGTTCGAGAGGGTTCTGCTGAACCCTCTATTTTTGTTTCTGGTGTTTCCCATATAGAACAATGCTGTAAAGAATTAACTTCACTAAGAGTGAACGTAGATGATTATTCACATCGTAGCTTCAAGCACAGCAGTAATATTGCATATGTTGCGTCAGCGAGTCACATGACTGGTGTGACGCCACGTTTCTAGAACTATCCCGTATCTTGGCGAATGCTCTAGTATTTACTAGATGGAGGGTAGACTGGTATATAAAGGAGGGTGACGCGGTACTGTAATGTGTGTGTAGACAGTGAGTAATTGAACTGCAGTCAGAGAGCACGAGAGACGTTACAGCGTTTGTTTAGCGCGATTGTTGAAGTTGAGTGTATCGGTAAAGTTATATTCGGAAAGAATAAACCAGTTCTTATTAAGAAAGAACTTGTGTCGCTTAAGTTTCGTCGGAACGAAGTTACGGAAAATCAATTAACAAACGGAGACGTAACACATACAAATCTAACAATAATATTAGCATTCCACGAGTTTCTCAACAATAAGCCCAACGTGCAAATGCAGAATATAGTTCTGTGGATGTTTATTCTAATAAAACAGTAACTATTCCTTTTCTTGACCACATTATGAGTAATATTTCCTTGAGGTTGATGCACATGTAAAGCAAGCAGTATCAATTCAGAAACTTATGCCATCAAAACTCACACAAGAGTTTTTTGTCACTGATATCAGACAGGCAATAGATTTTTACAGAGAAGATTTGCCAAATTCTGATATTTTTTATGTAAAACTTCATTGATGGAAGACAAGATGGTTTTCTATACCTCTCAAGGACAAACCCCAGATACTGGCTGACTGCTTAAAAGCGTACTTCAGCATACCAAATATTTTTTATGTTAATGAAACTCTTTGTCACACTGCCACTAAGTTCATGTTCATGTGAACGTTCGGCATCTGCTCTACGCCGGTTGTACACAAACTGAAGAAAGCTTGAGTGCTCTAGCTATAAAATACAATCATTGTGACACTGATTTCAATATTGAAACTGTATGTAAGTTATTTATGGAAAAGCAGCCCAGAAGAATGGAACATGCTAACACATTGTTACGTCTCCGTTTGTTAGTTAATTTTCCGTAAATCTGTTCCGACGAAACTTTAGCGACACAAGTCCTTTTTTAAATGAAACTGGTTTATTCTTTCTGAATACAACTTTCCGATACACTTAATTTCAACAGTCGCGCTATAACAAACGCTATAATTCTCAAGGAACGTTTCACGTGCTCGACTTCAACAATACTCAGTTCAATTCACATACTCTTCCCGTCACTTTGTGACCGTCTTATATATACAAGACTAACACATATCTAGTAAACGCTAGAGCATTCATGAAGGAACGAGATATTTCT